GAGCTTGGCACAGAGAGTAAAAAACAAAGCCTCTGCTGCTTTAAGGACAACATATTTTTTTGTATTAGCTTAAGAGAACATGAAAGCTGTCAAAAGAGCTAGTATAGTTTTTCACAATCCTGCAGAATTCATCTTGACCACAAGGAAATATCTGAAAACTGCATCAGAAAGATAGCATAGATCTTGCTTCCGAAAAGAAAGCAAGCAATTGAGTCATTGAGTCAAATAGGAATACAATACATTTTCTGGCATCGCTACTGAATATTTATATCAGTGATGAATGAGACTACAAACGAAATATTTTAACATGAAGCTTTGCCTTGTTAACTGCATGATATGCCAAAACACCACCTACTGTAAATCATAGGGTTTAAGACCAGTATTTCTTGTTTAAACATGCTACTTGTTCAGCAGAATCACTTGTGTGAACAAGCATACACTAATGTACACTAACTAGAGCAGTTTCACTATCCAACTGATAGAGTATAATTTAACAACCTCATTATCAGCATTGTAATTTTCAGACTGCTGAAATATCATATTTGTTATAATTATTATACGGTTTAAATACTTTAACAACATTGCCCATTTGACGCTTCTGTCAGATAAAATGCAGACAGGCACTTGTGCATTGATGAACATGCTTTTAATCCTATAAAGAAACTTTCTCTGTCAAATTATAGGGGTTTCAACACTTGATTTATGAACACCATAATTAAAATCCTTATGCCTTAAAGAAAAACAAACTCTTCATTATAACAGCAGCTTGCTTTCACATTTTTATCTTTTAATATTAGGAGTTTGCTTTTATATGCTGCTATTAGCTATCGGTTTGGCATGTCATTCCTGGCTGCCAAGACAGAAGAATGTTTCTCTTTATAACCTGGTCAAACCTCAAAGTATGGGTACGCACTGAAAGGGATCAATGTTTATTTACAGCTTCCACAAAGCATTTGCAGGGGAAAAAAAAAAATCTGCTAATTTAACAGGTAGAGGACAACATCACATAATTCAGTGCTTTCTATTTCTAGGAAGGCCAGAAACACTGATGTCTGCCAAACCATTTCTCCTCCTTCTATGAACTGTCAGAACCAAGAGTTTGGAAAGATACAATTTAAAAAAAAAAAAAAAAAAAGAAAGAAAAGAAAAAGGAAAAGAGCTAGATTTTCATATGCATTTCTGTAGTGGTTCTGGTTCAATTTGAATTTTAGACAGATCTCTGGAGGGGGAAGAGATTCCTATTTTATCTGAACAATTTCATGCATATCATTCATTCATTCTTACAGCACCCATCAGCACAGCAGCAGGTTTCAGTTTCCTAAACCCAATGCAATTCAAAATTACACACAATCTCCACTAAAACTACCATTACTGAGAGTGATGCAGTTACACATAAGCATCCCTTCTCTAAAGAAATCTCTGTCCCCAAATCCCAGAAAAGAACAATTCATTTACAAGCTAAGCAAGTAATCTTGAATCAAATCCTGAAGCTTGTCAAAACTAAGATCTTCTAAACTATCAATAAGAAACTAATTTCAAAAGAGGGAACTCCCAATTCAAGTCATTGCTGCTGAAGTCCTGGTCCCTTTTACCTGGCTTTCTACCAAATTTGTTTTGAAATGTCACAAACATCTTGAAAAAGAAATTAAAAGGAATAATGGCTGAAGGTCTCCTTGACAGGACCAAAGCATCAGACTTTATAGGGTTATCTTACTTTTGGCCACTAATTACAAAGCCAACACAGTTCCTGAACTCAGCATTACATGAAACTGAAAAGTTTACTGTGTAAAAGTTTAAGAGAAAATACTGTACTTGCAGATAATGAGGACAACTGAATGGAACCACATTACTATTGCACAGGGGAGAGGTTGAAAATTAACTCCTCAAATATCATCTCTAAAAACATAACAGATAAATTTTGTTATCCTTCTAACAAGCTGTTGTAATGCTAGACTGGGATAAAACAGATCATGCTGCCCTCTTGTGCTAGACGTGCACAGAAATCAACCCCTTTATTCCTGCAAGTGACACATGAAGAGGAATATAGAAAGCATTCACTATGAAGGAGAAAACGTCCGCGTTTTCCTCCTTACAGATACCTTGACATGCATGCAATTTGCTTACTGGGATATGGGTAGAAGAGCAAAGGAAGTTTCAAGAGAATCACATTCTACACCCCAAAAAATAAGTAAGTTCTGTCAGCAAATACAGGCAAGTCAGATGTGATAAAGCCCAAAATACAACCACTTAATCTCTAACTTCACATCAAGTTTTCACTATAGCTGTTTAAGTGATGCTGTATAGATATCTGCTGATAAATTTGCATTTCAGTCATAAATATCTGATCATTCTTTCTGAATGCTGGATAACACAATAAGCTTTAGTCACTTAGGTTTATCAGCTCAATAGGGTCAGGTTAAGTGCTTAAGAAAGAGACAGTCATTTATTAATAAGGTTCTACCAATGCAAAACATACTTAAAATCAGTAACATCTAACTATTTTTACATCTATGCCAAATTACACCAAGGTGAAATCTGGGTACATACAAATATTTTTGGGTGAGAAGGGAGAAAGGAGAGGGGTCCTCATATTCCTCTTCTGTCTCTGCTATGTAATCCAGGTTCCAAAAATACATTCAAATTCTTATATCATCTGGGTAAGATGCTCGTTACTATTCCCTTTACAACCTTCCCTTCCCTATATATTGCTAATGTAAGCTGTAAAGAGAGATCTTGGGCTTATGGCTAAACTGATTCACAAAGCATAATTTTTGTAGAAATAAGTCATCTCATTTATTCCCCACAACTGATTGGATCTACACTGTTGGGAGCTGACAGACATGTCATGATTCACCATGCATTTCCATTTCCTAATGTCGACTCCCTGATGCTGTTCATTAGTCTGTTTCTCCAGTAAGAACTATCGAGAGCTTGGAATGTCTATTTATTTAAGTTTCCTTCCCCGACTTTGGAACATGTATCACCATGTGCTCAAAATACTGGCCGTGGCATTTTTTAGTTGCTTATTATTTTTGGATAAATAAAACAGCGAAAGTCAGTTCAGCAATTGCTTCTGCTAAGGTCTTAGAGACCTCACACAAATACTGAGAACATGCTGGATGCTTAAATGACAGATCTGACACTGCAATATCAGCTTTGCTAATATGGGATATGATAACTAATAGTTTGGCTTGGCTATTACAATCATAATCCTAGAAAAAGGAGCCTTTAATAATTTCAATTTCTTTTTAGTATGTCTTCCATAGTAAAGCATATTAAAAAAAGAAAAAAAAAAGGAAAAAAAAGACACTTCTACTTAAACAAATCTCACCCCAATGCAAAAAAAAAAAGCATCTGAAGTTCTAAAAGATAAATACACACTAAAAAAACCACGTAAATCAGACAATGAAACACAGACGTTGAAAACAGAATTTCAGAACTGCTACACGCTGCAGTTCTGAACAAGAGCATCGTCTTGCATGTCATTTTTTCCCTTTTCTTTTTTTCCTTTTTCAAAAGATGTATAGATCAGAACAGCAGTACCCTTGCATACTACCATGACCAAAAGAAAGATGAAGGGAAAGAAATATATGCACACTGAAGTTAAATCTTCTATTATAAAATATCTGCTGATAAATAGAAACACACATCTGTAAGTCACGACAGTGTGTTAATACCAGCGATAGGCAGGTTTTATGAATGTCATTTTTACAAAGCACTGCTAATTTGAACTTCACAGTACGTTACAAAGCAAACTGTTATTTATCACTCTACATTGTCCCTGATGTTTACTCTGTAGTTCTTAGTTTGTTATGATGAGGTTTATGGGCATTCGTACAAGACGATTATATATTCCCTCAAAAATACAGTTACTGCATATGCTGCGCGCATACACACACACAAAAAAAAAAGAAAGAGAGAGAGAGCAAGCGATAAGAGGAAAATCCCTGCCTATCTGACAACAAACCCCATCGGTACTACGATTTCTTCTGATATATGTGCTCTCACTAGCTCTCCACTAACCTGTCTCCTGAGCTTATGGCTTCACTTCTAATCCTTTGCAGTGGCCCTGAATTTACACTACCACAGACTCACAGTACAAGTACACCATATAACACAGCTTTACACTTCTGCAGTTGTAGATTATTTTCTTTTAAAGGGGAAATTGTACACATTTCCTTCATCATATTATGGACATGAATCTTTTCTCCACATGAGTATTTTTTTCCTGAAAATATTACTAATTTCTCTGAAATGATAAAGCCATCCCTATATACCCTTACAACCATTAAACAGCTTCTGGAACTATGAGAACAAGCCTATGTTCCTTTTCTTCAAAGGAGTGAAGACCATCAGATTTCTGTTTCTCATGGAAGACCGGCTAGTAAATCAGTACCACTGCACTTCTCCACTCTCTTCACTCTGCTCCAGCTTCTCTCTCGTTTCTTTTGAAGAACATAAGGATCTGGATTACAGGTTTAAATTGCATGCTTTATGCTTTTGTGCATTTTGGAAGGATAGTAAGCTATACAGTTTCTCAAAACTGAATTACCACGCACACTTAAAATTATTTTTTAAAAGGGCAAATAATTGTTTGGGTTAAGGTTTCAAAGAAAAGCACAAGAAAGGCATCCCCACAAAATACATGCATGCACATTCAGCATATGGAACACGCCCCTGTGTAACTGAATCAGAACAGCAATGCATCTAGCAGGTCAATGTACAACACCAAAGCCACAGGTAATTAAGTTTTCTGTAAACTGCATTTGAAGAGAGTAAGATCAACCATCAATAAGCAATCAACACTCTGACTTTTAAATTTAAACTCTTAAATTTACACCGTTGAAAATAACACTGTTCAATTTAAAGATTTTAAGAAGAAAAAAAAACCCCACAAATATGCAAAAATAGTATAAAATTGTAATTGCCCAGAAATAGTATAGTTAACTTAATCAATGAGGTACATTGAATGTTGAGGGGTTTTTTACTGTTAAACTTACCTATAGGATTTCTGTCAAAAAACAAGACAGGAGCTTTCAAAATGGATTGAAACATTTTGTTGTGTAAATTCTGACCAGAATTAACAAGAACTTGAAACACCAGAAGACTTCTTATTATGCCAAACAGTATTGTAGCCACCGTTAAACCTGAAATTAAAAAAACATGGACAGAGCATGCATACAGATATGGGTCTTTCACAAGGAAAACAATTTAAAAATAAAAATAAACGAAAAACAAATTTTGTTGACTTCTGTATATAGCAAGAATCCAAACGTAAGCCTAGGGACTCACCGAGCGCAGAACACAGATACCTTATGTTTGTCACTATCATATCATCAAGTTAAACAATTTCTCTTTTTTGGTTTGAAAGAACAGGTACTTTATAGAAATGTAAGAAATGACTGTTAACCCATGAAATAAATCTGTATTAAAACCTTCTGCATAACAGCTCTGCTAAGAAATTCATTTCACAGTGCCGTGTATAATTGTGGCTTGCAGAGGTCACTGTGAAGATTCAACATTTGCCAGCAGGTATTAACCAAGTAATATATACATGGCTATTTAGAGACAACCTTGAGTTATTCTCAATCAGCCCAAACCACTCATGCCATTCTTCCCCTTGTAAACCACATCAAATCATTTAAATTATGTGTATTTCTTTAACACAGTATAAGATGCATCCCTTATGCCATGTGAAATAGAGCCCTTCTAGGGAGTTGGTCTGCAGACTGTTTGTTTGTCTTCTGGGCACATCTCCACTCACAAGACAGAGGTGCTACAGGGCAAAACATGGAAACAAAGAATGATGAGATTGCTGCTGCTTTGTTTGCTGTGTGTGATCTCCAGCGTGGCTGCCCACATCAACTGCCCATCCCAGTCGATGAAGGTGAACAGTGAAGGTGTTAACCTTACATTTGGCAGTGCTTCCAGGCTCCAGATGATCTGCCCCAGAAACTACGCATAGCCACCACAAGCCCAGATGCTCAGGCCTTGAGGACACCCTTAAGTTAGACCCTAACTATCAACATAGAACATTGCCTATTCTAAGGACAGGTTAAAACTGGATGCAGTTCAGGTATGGCTATAGTAACAGTGGGAAAGAGTGAGGTTTTAAATTATATGATGTGGTTCAGTCAATCAGTTATTCCATCCTGCTTACTGCTGTATCCTCCCAGGATGCAAGAACAGGTATCACTATTTCATTTGTCTGTTCGCAGTTTATTGCCCCTGTTCTGCACGGTGCTGTTTTTAAGGAAAAAGCACGTGGCTGGGATGAGAACTTGTTTGCCTTGTCCTAACTGCTCTATTCCAGGCCAGGTAAAAGAAAACAACTTTTCCAAGAGTAACTGCATGTACCCAAACAGGAAAGCTAGGTCATGCAAAAAGGGAGCAGAAGAGGTACCAAGCAGGAAGCTGAGGCAGAGCCCACGCCTAACAGCAGTCTGTGGGAGTGATGGGAGGAGAGGGAGCATGTCTTAGAGGCCCTTTCCAATCTTAATGATTCCTAGTTTTTACTTTCATTATAAATGATCCAGCCACCAAGCCAGGAGGCGTGGGGTTGCTACTCTACCCTTAATTGCTTTAGTGGTGGACTTGGTAATGTTAGGTTAATGGTTGGACTGGATGATCTTAAAGGTCTTTTCTAACCAAAACGATTCTATGATTTTATGTCCTGGGAACCCCACATTTCTGTACAACTTCACTCAGGCTTGGAAGCCACTGGAAGCTGCTGGCATGACCCTCACCAAACGAATCGCCTGAAAAGACTTAACGGCTGGGGAGCAGGGGAGGAACGCGACTTACTTTGAAGTCCTTCATCCTGTCTCACACTGAAGGTTTTTGCTTTCCCCATTTACAAGCTTACCACCTCGGTATGAGAGAGACAAGGACTCTTTGCACACTCACTTTATAGAAAAGGTTTGGAATCAGCACCTCAGTTCGGGCCAACAGGGTTTCCCATTAACAGAATTTCTACTCTTCTAAATCTTTGTCTCATAGAAACAAGATCCAGGAAAGAACTATCATGGCGATTTTTTTTTTTCTTGTTCCAAACATTGAGAATCAGAAATAAAAACGTTAAATTATTTTATACAGTTTCAGAGGTTACAGAAAAAGGTAAGTTAGATTATTATATACTTCATATGAAGTGTACTATATTTTATAACTTTTTAAACTTCACCTACAATTTTGCATAGGTAAATCAATGCTGTCTGTTCAACTATTGCAAATATCTCACTAAGCCACCTGAACATTTCAATATGAAAGGTAACTTTTGCTGTTCTGCTATCTAGAACAAAATTTGCCTTAAAGGATAAAATTTTCCATAACATGGTTTAGGTTATACGGTCAGAGAAAGCCAAGTTTGCCATACTTAATCATACTGTGCAGCCCACTGGAACGGCTCATGAAATAAGACATTACACAGAGAAAGTGAGTGCCAAGTTTATCTGGCTCCTAAATTGTTGCTTCCCAGGCCAAGCACAATGTTTTCTGTCAAGCACTTAGATCACGTGGATTCCCGAAAAAAACCCAAACAAAAAATCCTCCACCTATCCTCTCACCCATGAGAGATGATTCTGAATACATTCAATGCATATTCTTCTAGTATTCCACCTGTTTTCTTAGACCTATCACTTACACCTCCATCATTATAAGTGCTAAATAGCAGAGTCTGAGAGCGTATTTCTACACATGATTTTTCTATGCCAATTGTTACTACATTTCGGAGCAGTATTTCAAGATGTTTGGATGCCTGAGTACAAGAATCAATGCCCTTTTCTGGATATTCAGAAGCATATGGCTACCTATTGAAATATATTGAAATGTTTTTTTAACATCCTGCTTTGCATATCCATCTAGGATGCTTTTTAAAAACTGGTTCTTTTGCTATGGCACTTCAGAAGGAATGTAGCCAGACCAAGTTTTAGAACAGCACAGAATGAAGATCCATTTCTAATCCCTCTTGCCCATCCATATAATGACTGAAGATTTAGCTCAATGACCTATTAGTATAGACAATAACCACAACCTTACAGTGACTGACTTTTTGAATACGCAATTCCTAGTTTACTTTCCAAAATCCAGGCAAAGCAAATTAATAGTCTGGATTCAACCTATTTCTTCTGTTAGATGTTTTTACTTTATTTATTCCAATTAATTTAGTCAGGAAGCAAGACTCAGGCTCTTAATCTGTTAAGACATTATTCAGTTACTGCTAGAAATCACATTTCCCCACATTGCCATTTCTTCCCACCTCTCAAAACTGTTTATTATGATAGGTCAGATAATAAATAGTTCTTTAGACACACACACGTGCATGTGTAATTACCTGCATAAATTCCCAAATAAAAGTTAAGGTCTAGATGTTCAGTCTCATTTGCTCCGTTATTTCCATTTGTTGTGACATTCAACTTTTCTTGATGATTTGCCCTGTGGAAATGCGCACAGAAGATAACGATCATAAAAATCACATTCTACAAATATTCATGAGAATGTTTAACCATTTCTAGATCCAACTCTGTTGAAATCTCCAGTTCAAAAGATCCCATGTACTGATGTTTTCATGCATCTCACCATGAGTAGAAGTGATCACAGGCTACACTTCAGCACAAAGTTTATTTTTTTTTCCCCAGACAAAAAGCAGAGATCAGAAAAAGATCAAGCATATTCTGAAGTTTCCTAGAACAGGTTTCCACCACCACCACCCCCCATACAACGCTGATTTCTATTAGACAAACAGCACTTGACTGAAAAGGCAGAAATGACTGACCAGTTATTATCATCAACTTACCAGTAAGAAAGCCACCAGTCCTGGAGAACATATGCCACCTTGAGTAAAAGAGGCAAATACAAAATTAAAAAATCATTAGAAAATTAAATTTCCTTGCTATTCTTTCATGTTCTCTGGGAAAACATCACATATTCAGGAAAGTATGCCATCCAGTCTTTCCAGACCAGCAGAAATTTGCAAAGCACATTAGAAGGTGCATTAGAACCCTCTACAAAGAAAGAAGTTACCTTAAATTACCTTACATGATAGCAAACTAAAGGAAAGCAATACACTTAAGCAAACAAAATATAGTAGCTCTTCCTAATGTATGTTAATGCACATTAAAGAACTCATTTTTTCAGTTCCTAAATTTGCTACTAGAGATATTCCAAAATGCTTTTTGATGAACAAACTTTCTGATGTTACCAGTCCAGAAATTGGTGTTTACGGGAGATAATTACCAGAAACAGGGTTGAAGGAGGATGAGAGAAGAGAGGGAGGGAAAAAGTCTTACTGCCACCTTCCTTCCGCACCGAGAGGTGACTACAAACTTGTAACAGGGTTATTTATCTCAAAATACACCTCTGTTCACGTGAATTTAAAGTTCTGGGCGGTCTACTGCAGAGATTTGATCTTGCTCAGCTATCTTTCCAGCAGACTCAATTCAAAGACAAGCAAGAAGAAAGTAACATATATAGACTATTTTTAACAGCCAAGACCAATCATTTCCATGAAATGAATTTAAGCTAGCAGGAAACAGAGAAAAAGGCAATAAGCTATCTTCACGCAGCTTCCTCAGCTCACCATTTCTTTCAGTAAGTTTCAAAGTAATGTTCCTTGTTTAAAAATTCTTTTACATACCTGCTACAGACTGCATTACACACAATATTTGCCTATCCTTTTCCTCACTTTCTTATTCTGCTAAACAGTGACCCTCCTTCTAGCCCTTCTCATAACCTGCACTAATCAGCAGATGAGCTTTTCTTTTAACACTTCTGTCAGACTCTGTCCTCCCATACCCAGTAAATCTCTTTACCCTCCTTAATTAGAAACATACTGACTGTTCAGATTTGTTAGACACTACTTTAAACACTTTATGATTTTGTTCTCTATCTCCAAAAATTAGACTAGCTTATAACTTTTGTGCCATGCTGCCAGTAAAATAATTATTTAATTGAAGTATTAAAACTGTTGAAATAAGGATCAGTGCAAGATCTCTCAATGCTATACCAAAACTCCATGCTGATATATAAAATTTGATCAAGTATGCTACAAAATTAAAGAACACTATGATCCCAAACATTTTAGATGAAACATCACAGTAACAAGCATATGCTATGTTAAGAAGAAAAAAAAAAAAAAGAAAAAGGAAAAAAAAAAGGTGAACCCAAAATACATTCAAAGTTATTTATGGCTCCTGACAACTTACCTGTGCCAAAATATTGAATACTAAAAGTACAAAAATCACAAAGTAGTTTGCTCCCGCAGTGAAATATTTTCTGTAAACCTTAAAGTTTATTTTTCCCTCAGAGCGACTCTCCTCTGGCACTGCAGCCAGTGCATTTTCAGCCTGAAAAAACAACCAGAATAAAAAACATCAACCTTGCAGTCACAGATTCAGACTAAGCCACTTGAAAATCATGGTTCAGAATTAGCAAACAATTAAATAAGGAGATAAAATGATTACACATATAAAAACTTTAAATATCAGAACTGTAGCTTTGACAAAAAAAAATTAGTCTCAGTGCAGTAATACTGAAAAATCTACTCTGCAGAATGACACTGTGAGGATTTTATTTTGCATTGCACCACAGAATGTAGCATGACTTCATTTACAGCCAGAAATATTTACTCTAACTGACTGCTGTTTAGCTACTAGCTACCAGGTTTTTCTTTTCTTATATACTTTTCTTTTCTTATATACTACCTTCAGTCATAACAGCTCTGGAAACTAAGGCTTTGACTTGGGAAAGATTCTGTTTTCAGAATGCAAGTGTGTGTAACCTTTCATTTTCAGAAAAGTATTTGAAGTAAATACTCTTCTGCAAGTATGCACCAAAATCAATCAACATATGCCCAGAGTAACAAATTACCCATAAAGTTCTAATCAAGTCCCTGTAAGTACCAACAAAGCATCTGTTAATAGGGAAAACATGTAAAATGACAAATGAGAAATCATATGGATGGGGGACACTGAAAGACAGAAAAGCAAAAAAATGAGACAGGCATAAAGAAGGTAAAAGAACCATTCAAATGAAAAAAATTCTGATTTTTTTTTACAGTATACGTGACAGAAAAACTAGTGCCAATTCAAAATAAAGTGTTACACATCCACTGTTTTCAGCAGACATGGCTGTACAAGAGCAGTGGAATCAACAGACCTGACTCAGATGTGAAAGGAGAAATCCCACCTACTTGCCTATAAGAGAAGAGAAGCCTATCTTGGTTTTTTGTTTCTCCAGCCCTGCCCCCGTCCCCCTCCCCACCCAACAGCTCTAATGCTGCTAAAAAGTTTGGCATACCTTTGTGGATTTAATAGTGGAGTCACTACTGGGACATTAATAGTATCAGGTAAGTTTACTGGTTTACTGGCTTTTGGGCATAAAACCATTCCTCCAAAAAGGTATAAAACAAAAAGTCTGTAGTAGTATTTTTTGTTTGTTTGTTTGTTTCTCACTGCTTTGTATTACAGAAAATAAAATGAATTAATATATACCCATAGCATAAAGGTGACAATCATCAGGGACACACAGGAATTCCGTGTGTTCCCTGGATGCAGTGCTAGCACAAGCCTAGCAGGGTTACAGGGCTCCTGTGCTGTTTTGCGTGAATGCACGCACACCAGCAGAAGGCCCCCCGGTACAGAAACCTTACGGCTGCTTTTGCACTGTGCAGACCAAGAGATAAGAAGGCACTGGGAAGTCAAACTGGCACCATACAAAGCATTCTGTTTTCACCAGCAGAAGGGCTGGGGAGACACTTTGGCTTAGAGTAGACTTGGTAGTGTGGGTTAATGGTTGGACTGGATGATCTTAAAGGTCTTTTCCAACCTAAACAATTCTATGATTCTATGACCAATGCAGTGGTGTCCCGAGGTTACCCCCTCGGGGCCAGCTCAAGGTCACATGGGTATGTTAATGCCAGCCATGCAAACGCAGACTTTGTATAAAGCCACTGCTTCTGCATGCACTTCCCAGAGCTCAGGATTTCAGGGAAAGTATTAATTTGAGCTCAGCACTGCACGAACAGACAGAACCCACCCAATACAGTGGTACTGCCCCTTTAAAGCACCGCTGTCAGAGGACAAGATGAAGGAAGCACAGTGCGGCATCTTTGGACACTTAGAAGAATGCTTCCTGCATCCAGCAGATCTCAGGCTGAACCTGAACAAACTCACTCTGCTGAGTTTGCACAGAACAGTGCAGAGCTGTGGGATGCCTGCCCTCTGCAGCCCAGGTGGCAGGTCTGCCAGCCAAGCACAGCACCCACAGCTCGGCGTGGGTGAGCTCTCCCCTGCCAATGCCATCCAACAATCCCTGAAATTCAAATGCAGCAGGGAGAGTCCTTATCGCAGTTTAAGTTAAAAAAACAGCCAGACAAGCATTGAGACATGTCTCTCCTTTGAGCACTCACAGGTGGTTGTTCCAGTGCTCCGTCTTTCTGCGATTGGGCAGAAGAATCCTGGGACCAGACAGAGGACTCCGAGAAGGTTCGGCTCCGGGCAGACTTCAGGTTGGGGGTTCCTGGAACCGACAGCTGTTCTACCTCCTCATCTTTTTTCAAAAGGGAAGCAAAGTCGATGCCAGATCTCAGGAACTCTGAATAGGTACCTTTCCCCATCATTTTACCCTACAATTAATATAAGCTTTGATTATCTTTATTATACGCTTTCTGTAAAGGACATTTTTTCCTATCTATTCCTGCTGCCTCCGGGGTTCTGCAGTTGCTGAGCACACATCCCACTGCAGTAACCAAGCTGAAGTCTCTAACTATCAGGTCCTCATTTAGAGGAGCAGAAACAAGCTCTTCACCCTCTAACCAGTCCCTTCCGGCAGCTAACCAGGACAAGGAGCATACAACCACGATGACAAAAGTCCCAGGTACAGCCAGGTGAGAATTACTTCCTTGGAGAAGCTGCAGGAGACCGCCATGCAGCTTTAGGACAAGCTGTTGAACTACATACATAACCATCAGTCTTTTTATATTACTCCAGGCTAGGGGTAAACAACAGCTTAATTTTCTGGTCCTCACAGAGCTCTACAAGAAGCAACACAGACCGTTTCCACGCTTCTTACAGCTTTATCACAAACTCATTTCTAGAAAGCTACTGTAACTCTCAAAGAGATCTAAATGGGAGGAGACAGCTAGTGTCCTTTTTTTGCAACTTTGTGAAGCATCAAAGTAATGTGAAGTACTTCACTACGCAACCTTAAAAAGAGAAAAAAAACAACCAGCTGAAGTTTCTGCATTTCCCCTCTACCCGTGAATATCTGGTACAATGAAGTTTGGAAGGAACCAGTTGTTGAACAAGGCCTGCTTGTTCTCAAAGGTATCTGTGACCATTTTTCAGCCTTAATTTAAAAAAGGGACTGGTTGCAAAAATCAACATAGTTCTTAATTCACACAAAAGTGTAAGAAGCAAGAATAAAAGCAAAGCATTAACATAGTCTCAAAATAAGTAGTTCTCTCACACTATTTTATACATATGTGAGATAAAAATTAATATGTAAGATTGTGCATATGCATGACAAAATTCAGAAACAGATTTTTCTGGGAAGGTATTCTAAGAAAAATCAACGTAATAATAATTATAAATCTTTAAAAACCTATATAGTCATTAGTAGGCAGAAAACATATTTACAAACCAAAATTAAAAATCTTAACCTTTTTTTTTTTAATTCTTAGATAAAAAGGATAATTAGAAAGTATGTGAGATATAAAAGTATAGACACTGAAATCACTTACATCTTTTAAAATTAGAATCTGATTTGCAGCACGGAGATACTGCAACTGGTGAGTGACCAAAACAGAGATCTTCTGATGTAAGGCCTGACAAATACACCTGCAAAGACATGGAAAAATTAATTAAAAAATGAAGAGTCCTAAAACATTTTGACTGTTTCTGGAAAATGTCTTCTATTCAATTATACAGTGTTTAAAGTAGGAAAAAAAGATGCCTATGCTTATTACATTTATAAAAAAATTACACTGAACAAACATGTTCCTTATTTAACTTTGTAAGTTTTCAAGGTAGGGAAAAGAAATTTCGTATTTCTGGTCTGGGGCAAAAGAGGAAGAAATATCTTAAGGACATTTCATTCAAATTGTCTTAAACATCCTCGTAACAAATGTACATGTCATAAGCTGAATTGCAAAGAGGGTATTTAACAAAAATTAAACTAACGGAAAGAGAAAGCAGGGCAACATACTGTGGGCAATTATGGAAAAAATACAGCCAATAAAATTCTTGGAGATGAGCTTTCAAAGCAGCTGTAACAGTGAGCCACTAAGAGTTCTGGAGAAGTAAACAGCACTACTGATCTGAGCTACATCCAGGTATGTATTAAGGTAGAGGAGCGAGATCCTTCAACCATCTCTGTCCTTCTCCTATGGAATCAGGGCTTACCTTCCTCTCCAGTACCTTACCTTCTTACCCTAGAGACTTCCCCAGAAATTTGGGATTTGGAGAGAGAAGTGAAGAAGGGACTGGGCATACCAGAACCAGTCAGCAAGTACAGTTCAATCCTATACAGTTTTAGCAGAAAAGATACCTGGTATCTTTTCAGCAGAGCCTTGAAGGCTGCTGGAGCCAAAAAAAAAAAACCAAACCCAAAAAAAACCCCCACACCCGAAACAAAACAAACCCCAAAACCACAGCAGTGGAGCAATGGTTTACAAGTGCAGAGGTCTGCAAGCATGCCTCTTCATGTACAACAGGGACAGCACAGACACAACTGAGTATCCAACACTACCAACACTCTCATTGCCTTCATCCCCACAGTAACACAGCAGGGAGACAAACCCTTTCAGAGGATGCCCCTTTCTCAACTACTCACTATCTTAAGAAAACAAGGAAAACTGGTATTATCTAGAACTGAAGTGTCCACTGAAGGTGTATACATTAGCATTTTCCATTTGGATCAGGAGTGCCCTTTTGAAGATCATCTCCCAGTTGTGTCACCTCAATCCGCTGCTGCTCATACTGTTGAGTGGTATTGGGGCCCATGAACTGGACTGCTAGACAAAACCAAGCAGGAACACACACTTCAGTAGCACCCCTCATCAGTACTCAGCTGACGAGGAATGAAGCCCACAGGGCCAGGCTACAGCCTGCTCAAAGCAAAACTTTCTGAACTGCACGGGGACCTTGGCACTGTGCGTTTTTCTCCACAGATCCGCTCCTGTTGGCCTTATTTTCGCTAACATGCTAACTCCCATTTGCTAATGTGACACAGGAGGGTGGCACTCACCAAAAAAGAACAAAAAAACCCCTTTCCCCCCCATATTCTCTCTCCCCGTTCTCCAAAAACACACAAGCAAAACCACAGCAATCCAATAGTACAAATTCAATGCAGAAATGCAAATAAGCAGTAAGGGGAGTAAGGCAAAAAAAAAAAGAACATGAGCTTAACAGCAATGATATCATATTGCTTACTGTGTTTCACACATTCACATTGTATACCCAATTAACTCCCTACACAGCTTTTAACATCTATTTTATCCCACCTGCGAAGACTGTAGGAAGTAGAGTACTATAAAATGGTTAATACTAGTACTAGTCAGCATAATTACATGCAGAAAGTATGTTATAGTGTTCCAAATAAAATTAAGTTAAAAGCAATACTCTTCCTGAGAAAGTTACATGCTTGCTATGCAGCATTCAAGAAGCAACTGTAAACACATGATGTCATGCTTAGGTGGCCAAGATAACAATTCATCAAGGTATTTGCAGCAGCATAACTATTTGAGCAGCTGCAACTATTTATACACCAAGCTCTTTGTAGGAGTATTATTCTGGTGTGGTTACTGTCCACCCCTCTGAGCAGTCACTGAAACAAGCCACATGGCAACTAGAGCACCAGCTGAAGACACGCAACAAGACATAATCTTCAACAAAACCTGTCCAGAGAACTGGACAGAGATCAGAGAGGCTACAGGATATTTACTTGCCTAGCAAGAAAGCTGCCAAAAGAGAACATATCAGGTATTCACCGTGAAGAGATCTAGCTTTCCCTTACATAGTCCCAAAGCCTATATACACCACTTTGATCACTGAATTTTCTGTGTTCCAGATGTATGTCCAACAGCTGACTGGGACAAACGAGAAAATCTGATGGCTGAAAACCTTTAAACCTTGATCCTGAGTCACGGCGAGCCCACTGCACTTTAAGTTTGCATTGGGGGGGGTGGGGAGTGGGAAGTGGGTTAGCATCAGAGCAAACCAATTAGAACTGCCAGAGCTGTCAGCACAGCATCCTGCGTGATCTCAGGAGAGAAAGCAAAAATGACCTCTGTGGAAAATATAAATTTCCACTGATCTATCAGGTCGCTCAATAGAGAATTTCTAAAAAAACAACAACTCTCGATTTGATGTCTATCTGGGTAGAAAGAAGATAGCTGAATAGTTTCTTGATAACAGGTGAGTAGAAAAATTGTTGTCACAATTCACTGGCATGAGCACAGGGAGGAAAAATCTCAACAAAGAGCGTATACTTAGATCTATTACCAAGTTAAACAACTCACTGCTCAGACAGCTCACTAGAAAATTTTGCCATTTAAAATACTGTATCATCATGAAGCACAGAAGTTGCAAAACTAGTAAAATACTACGTATATACTTAACGTGTTTCAAAATATCAAACTACTTGAGCTTTATGTTTGAAACCTTTTTTTTAAATTTTTTTTTTCTTTTAAATACTCTCTCTCCCATTTGACAACATCCATTCTGCAGTTTACAGTGAGCATTAAGTTTGTACGGTGCCTTGGCTGCCACAGAAAACAAATACCAGAGTTCAAAGGGAGGCTCAGCAAAACCGAATGTGATAAAAGGGCTGACACAAAACTCTTGAGAGCTCACTGAATTCTTATTAGCAAAAACTTGGTATTGTCTTAGAGCTGAAAAAGGAAAAAAAAAAAAGTCCATGTGTATTTATGTTTACAGCTGGTTCACTAAGGCTTAGTTTCATTGCACATCTACTTTTAGAAATACTGCTCTGTGTAGCTGAAGAAAAGCAACCATCAATTCTAGGTGAGCCACCATCTGACAGCGACTCCCTTTCTCACTGACAACAGAGAGAATCCAGGGAAAGCCTTCCTCAGCAGGGGACATACCTGGTCCAAGAGTTCAGATACCTGCTGCAGTACCCCCAGAACTGCCACCACCTTTTTACTTGTTGTTTAAAACCCCACAAAGTTCACCTTCTTTGCGCTTCTCCATTACTCTCTCGAGGGGCATACTCTGTTAGTTAGACTTGTGGGCACATTTAACGCATGACAGCAGGATGAACTACTGCACAAAATCATAGAATCATAGAATCATCTAGGTTGGAAAAGACCTTTAAGATCATCCAGTCCAACCATTAACCTACACTACCAAGCCCACTCTAGACTAATCAAGGGTAGACCAGACTAAACCATATCCCGAAGTGCCACATCTACCCATTTTTTAAATGCCTCCAGGGATGGTGTCTCCACCACCCCTCTGGTCAGCCTGTTCCAATGCCTGACCACCCTTTCCGTAAAGAAATTTTTCCTAATTTCCAGTCTAAACCTCCCCTGGCGCAGCTTAAGCCCATTTCCTCTTGATGCAGTTGCCATTGCCACATTTATTAAATACACAAGCACATGCAGACACATGCACACAGCCAGAAGAGATGCAGACAGGGAAAACCCAAAGGTTCTTCAGCCTCTTCAGTACAAGGAAAATGGGGATGAAGGGACTATGAAAGCTGCATCCTCTTCCCCAAGTAAGAACCAACGTAAACTTAAACCATTCCTGACAGACATTGGATAGGTTGGTCTGTATGTTTGTTTGTTTTAAACTCAACAACAGAAATCTCAACATCCTTGAAACCCCCCCCCCCCCAAAGTCCAAGTTCACATCTTCTCGTACAATTTAAATCCACTGCTTCCTGGAGGACAATAGACCAGTTTATACCGGTGTGCACAGTCCCTTTATACATTAAGTCTCTCTCTTCCATAAAAAAAATAGTCCCCCAAATCCTTTTTCCCCTCCTTTTAAGTGAGAAAGGGTTTCCTCCTCCCCCTCCCTCCCCTTCGCCCCCCGCCCCTGCCCTTGACACCCAAATGTCCTTGATGGGCTATACTGGAGCCTGAAGCTAGTCTACACTTTTTGGAAGTGCACAAAATTGAAACATTATTCCAGTTGAGACCTTACAGGTACAAAACATAACAGGAGGATTACTTTACCTGTACTGCCAGATACAGTACTGGTCATAAATCCCAGGGTGCAGTTTCCTTAACAAGAGCATGACATTGCTGACATACTGGATTTGTGATCTACCCAGTCTGCACCTCCTTTTCCATAAAACTACCGCACTACTGGTCCCTGCTCATAGTATGTTCATGGAGTCAACACTTTGCACTTATCCCTGCTGTGTGCATCTATTAATTCACATCCTGCAACCAAGACTTTCTAAATCCCTGTTCATCTCCAGAACTGTCTGAAGCATTGCCTGGTTTTCTAGCCCCTGAAAACGTAGCATCAATGACCTTCATTCATCATCAGGAATACCAAACTCAGGATAGATCTCTCCAGAAATTACAGTCTTCCAGTTTGACAAAAATAAACGAAGAAACATTTTAAGTTAACAAACCTAAGCAAGAGTATACTAGCACCCATTTAAAAAACCCATTGCACTTTGACAGCAAACTTCCATGCAATTAAGAAAAAAAAGATTCGCTTGAGCTTTGATACTGCAGGGCATGGAGCAGAACACACTTACTCAGAAGGGGGCCTACAACAACACGGTGCTCCTCTATGCAAAGGCAGTGTCTTGGCGCTTTCATGCATATGAATCCTCATATGTTCTTCCTTCTCTA